GTAGAGGGATGAACCTGAGAGTTGGCAGGCCAGAGGAGGAGTCGGTTTCAAGAAAATATTCTGAGATCTTCTTGTTTTCATTGTTTGTCTGGCAGCCTCCCCAGTTCTTATCTAATATTCCTTCTAGTCTGAGCTAAATCCGAACTTCTATATTAGTAACCAAATTTGGTAGGATGGTTCATAAAATAAGTGCAAGGAGATTCTGAATAGGAACCTTGAGGGGACTCATAAATAAAGCGTGCACACTATTGCAGTGGTTTTAAGAACAAGTATTTTGCTGACTCAAAGACTTCTTTTGCTCCCTTCCAGATCCTGGCCTTGCAGGTTTCTGCTACTTTTACAGAGCTAAAGGGAACCAGGATTCCATTGAAAACTCCAGTCTCCTATCCAGTTTACCACTCATCAACTTGCAGCACTGGCCAGGTCTGGGCTGATGGGACCTGATTTCTCCCACTGTTGGTCCTTTAGACTTCTTTTGGCTTTTACCAACTGCTGTATATCCCATGAGTTCCTCCTGCTAGATTCTCTTGGGTGGCTACCAGCAAGATGGTTCAGGCTCCAGTGGGCTCTGCTTCCCCATTCTCTCCCTTTGATCAGATAGACATAGAGGGCAGAGACCGAGTCTGTCGCCTGTGCAACCAGGAAAGATTCAAGTCTCTCCTTTTGCAGGCACCCCCAGTGGCTACCATTGGTTCTACTGGGAATACTACTCAGTGGATAGAACTTGGTGTTCTCCATGAATTTTCTTTCCTCTCACAGTTACCTCTTAATAAGGACTGGAGAAGGCCTATGGTGTACTGTAATAGGGCCGGCCCAGCTTTTAATGGGATGTGCCTGGTTTCCTTGATGGCTTTTTTTGGAATAATATTTCTTAGCCTTGGATGGTCATAGGAATCATCTGAAAGTTTAAACGAACAAACAAAAATCCTGATGACTGGATCCTAGTCTTACAGATTTTGATTTAATTAGTGTGGGGTAGCAGGCCAGTTTAAAAACTCTGCAGGTTCTAATGACGGCCTTTACTAAGGAACACTGTTTTAGAATGGGGTGGTACTTAACACTAATTACTTTCATCCATGGGCTTTTACCAATCATTCTGAGACTCCCAGAAAAACCCCATTCAGTGTTCCACAGGGTATTAAAGAATAATGGAAATGTGAGGATTCCTGGAATGCTGGAACGAAAAGGAACCCGAAAGATCATTTTCTTTACTTTCTTGACAAACGAGGTCTGTGGACCAACAACTTTGGAATCACTTGAAATGTTGGTTTAAAAGGCCAGTTTCGAGGCCTTCTATTCACACCTTCTGAATCAGCCTCTCTAAAGTGGGGGTGGGGTTCAGTATATACATTTTAATAACTTCCCCCAGGTGATTCTTAAGCACATTCACGGTTTAGAGCCATTAACTGTATCAGAGTGTTTCAACCCTGGCTGCACTTTAGAATCACATAGGGGCCATAAAAATATCCATGCCAAATAGACTAGTGGTTCTTAACCTTGGCTGCACTTTAGCATCACCTGGAGGGTTTTTGAGAGTCCCATGCTCAGGCCCCACACTGTGCCACTCATATCACAGTCTCTGGGGTGGGACCCAAGTATGTATGGTTTTTACAACTCCCTAGGTGATACTAATCTACAGCCAAGGTTAAGAACCAGTGTTCTGAATATTCTGGTTTAATTTGAGGGGTGAGGGAGGGGAGTCTCAGGCGTTAATAATTTTAAAATATACCCCCAGGTAATTGTAATGTGCAGCTAAGACTGAGAATTCCTGAATATTCAGGTTGGGGTCATTTTCAGCTTTTCTGAACTTCCCTCAGTGTGGTTATTTAGTGACCTTTAACCTACAGATGCAGGCTTGCCTCCTTCCCCCATACCAGATCCGTGCCAGTCTTGACCAAGGAGGCCTAGTCTCATCAGCAGTTACATGTCCATCTAGACATAAACCTCCTGCCCTTCTGAGTTAGTTGCATTAATTAATCTATACTCATTTGGTAAGTATGTATTAAACATCTAGTACTTGTCATGTACTCCACATTGAACAGTGGATAGGATGGCAAATGAGGTATCATTCTGGACACCTCAGGAAGCTTATAGATTTGCAAGGGTAAAGGAGAAAGACATAGCTGCAGACAGAGGCAGAGCAAAGAGTAGTAATTACAGTAGATGAGTGAAAAGAGAACTGTGGGAACACAGATAGTGACTTAATCTGCCTTGGAGAATCCAGAAAGACATGTCTAAGGAGATGCTATTTAAGCAAAGTCTTCCCACATGGTTTAAAACACCTTCCATGATGTGATTTCTCTCTACTTCATTTCTTGCTACTCTTGCCTTGGTTTCAGCTTGAGCCATACTGAACTCCTTTCAGGTCTCTGAATGCCTAACACTGTCTTGACAAGACTTCAATTTGCAATTTATTTAGCTGGAGTATTCTTCCCCTTTTTCCCCACCTGCACCTCCTTACCTAAGACTCTGCTTAGCTGTTAATTCCATGAAGAGGCCCTTCCTGGCCTCCTGAATGATGATAAATGCCTTTTTCATACATCCATGCAATAACCTGTAGTGATTCTTTTACAGGACATGCCCACTTTATTGCATGTCTGTGACCCCTTGAACCTATACATGTTATGAAAGTGACAACAACTAGCTGTCTTTACCGCTGTGTCCTGTGCATAGCACAGTGCCTGGTGAAGGACTGAATTGTGTTCCAGGAACAGGGGATGATCTATGCAAAGCCATACTGAGGTTGGAATTCTGTGCCGCATAAGATTTTGAATGTCCAATGTTAAAATGAGCAGAAAGAGTTTTTAGAGATGATTTAGAAAAGGTCGATTGTTAAGGGCCTTGTATGTAGCCCTACATGGTCTGAACTTCATCTTGTAGGCGGTGGGAAGCCAGAGAAAGGGTTAAAGGGTTATGTGGGGCAGTATAATAATGAGGTTTATCATTCAGGATAGTCACCCTGGACGCAAGGTAGAGGATGGAATGAGCAAGAAAAGGCTAATTTAAAGAACAGTTGGGGCGGGGGGGCTGGGTGGCTCAGCAGTTGAGCGTCTGCCTTTGGCTCAGGGCATGGCATGGTCCCGGGGTCCTGAGATCGAGTCCCACATCTGGCTCCCTGCATGGAGCCTGCTTCTCCCTCTGCCTGTGTCTCTGCCTCTCTCTCTCTCACACACACACGAATAAATAAATATTAAAAAAAAAAGAACAGTTGGGAGATGTTCTAGTACTATGAGTGAAAAATAATAAAGGCTTTTTTGAAATAATCAAGCAAAAGGGCTCCATTCAGAAGACATTTTTGAGATAGAATATGTAACCCTCACTGACTAACTGCATGTGGGGGTGAATGTGAAGGATGATGCCTTTGTCTAGATTGGAAGACAGGCTGGGTGGGATGCTATTAATGGAAGTATGGAATATGGGAAGAGAAAAAAATAATGAGCTCAGTTTTTAACATGTTGAGAGTTCCATATACCTGTGGGCATCTTAGGTAGAGTCTTCTGTGTAGTTAGAAATGCATACAATTCTCAGATTGGTAACTTATTGATTGTGGATATAACTGGTATTGTCCAATTGACTACTTTGACTTCCAGTGTATGTACAAAGAGATCAACTTTTCTTTTTCTTTTTCTTTTTTTTTTTTGAGATCAACTTTTCAAACTGGCAGTGTTGTGTTGATTTCATGATTTTTGTTTTGTTGGGCCATGATTGGCAATCAGTTGGCAATACTTCAAGGGAGAGTCTCCATTAAAGACACTTACTAGTTACTTTCTTTGATTATATACCTACATGTATGCCTAACCCACCTAAATTCTGAGGTGATAGTGGTTATATCATAGTAGCAATGCAGTTATATTCTTTATATATTTGATTGTGAGTTCAGAAAGGAAGTGTGTCTTGTTCTTTTGTTAGACTTAGTGCCTGGTCTAAGAGGATCACAAATTAGTGGATGAATAGATGGATGAAAGGATGGATAGATGAATTTATAATCTGATGGCAGGATATGGGATACTTTCTGGAGCTAATCACTTAGGAACTGAAAACCTTTTATCTTATACATAAATACCTAAGTAACTTTTCACTGAGCTGTTGACTACAACAGGTAGAAGAGATCACCGTATTTTTAAAATGGCCTTTCCTCGTATAATTTTTTTCTTGGCACTGCAAAACCACCCTGGGAATTTGAAAGCTATGGGTATAAAAGACCGTGTTTCCTGATACATTAACATTTGATGTTGTCAAGTAAAGGAGGAGCATTTAACTTAATTGTTACTGAAAATTCTTTTGCTTGATACTGTCCTAGAAGCTGGTAGTTGGGTACAAGACCAGATTCCTTAGGAAGATAACCTCATGGACCATATGAAGAGACTGGAGGAGAAGAAACGACTCTATTTGAACAAAGGAGAGATGATAATGAGGGCTTAGAGTAATAGAATAGCAGTTAAATTGATAGAGCCCATTCATTCATGCATTCATCGAATATTATTCACTGTATTATACCGAGCTCTGGGGATGCAAATGTGGGCAAACTTGGATAAGTTCCTACTCTTTAAGAGTTTATCAATAAGTGGAAGAAATGAATGTTGATCAAATCATGACATTAATAAGTGTAAAATTGCAGATGTGATAAATGTAGTATGGGAAAGAAACAGACTAAAAAAAGCAGTTCAGAGATAAAATGGACAAGACTTACTTGGTTATTGTGGTATCAATAAAAGGTAGGTTTCCTACTCTTCTCTCCTGAAAGAATATTCAAACTGATTTGTGTGACAGAAATCACATACATGAAATGTTATCAAAGAAGGCATATTCAGTGGTGAATTGTGTAGAACAAATTGAAATTACTTTTAACCAAAAGATTAGATCAATAAGCTATAAATTTTAAGTTGTGATATTGCAATTCATTCCACTTATTTTTCATTGCACATTCACCTGGCAGGATGGTACTGCACTGATGAGATATGGTTGACTCTAGATCTCTCTTTTTGGATTTTTTTTTTCAGATGTTGCCAGAGCAATTGAATTACTGGAAAAGCTACAGGAATCTGGAGAAGTACCAGTGCACAAGCTACAATCCCTCAAAAAAGTGCTTCAGAGTGAGTTTTGTACTGCTATTCGAGAGGTATGAGACTAAAATTTTAATAACTATATTTAGTCATACGCCTTCTGAAGAGAAAACATGCCTTTTCCACACAAACAGTTGAAATAGTTAAGATGGGAGCTATATCTAAGCTTTCTGTTTTTAGCTCCTTGGACAGACGATAAAATATAATTTAGTCTGCTAAATTCTTAAATTAGATCCAGTCAGGATTTATACATTCGTATAAAACCAAAAGTTGACCTTATGGTACCAGTGAGGTCAGTGCCTCAGCAGGTAACTGTTACTTAATTGTAGTCTGAGTTACTTAGTGGCTGCATGAAGTCATATGGAAATTCAAAATAGTCATAATTAGTGATGGTTGAGCTTTCCCTAAAAGAATACTCAACTGAATCTTAAATCAATCTGGAAGAGAACCCTCCCATGAACTAATGTCATAGTTATCCAAACATTACTGTCTTAGGGTTATAATGGAAAATCTCTGAGCAGACTGATATGCCCTTCTAACAACTCTTTGTAATGCTTTCCTCACTAGTGGTTTCAAGAAGCCTACCATAAAGCAAATGTGTAGAAATGACTGAATGTTGTATTGACTGGTGGTGGAATTGACTAGCCCACTAATGAATTCCACTGGTTACATAAGAGTTCATTTGGGAGGTATATGCCGTATTGTCTTTTGAATAACATAATATTAAGTAAGCCCATCATTGCTTCCCCATCAGTTACTAAGTAAGAATTCATATCTAGGACCTAAAATCCATAAATCCAGCATATTTGCTCTGCTTGAAGTCTGCAGTAATAAAGTATCTACTGTCCTCCTCTCCAAAGCCAGTTGAACTCAGTGACTCCCTGGAAGGTTTTGTAGTGGAGGACATGCACTTGACAAGCAATACTTGTTACCGACTTTCCTTCCTCTTTGCAATTCTACCGGTAGCCAGTGCACAAATTTTTACCTCAACAATGCTAATATGTGAGTAGTCACATGTGGGAAAGACCTAAGTGACTAAGACAGGAACATACAAAACCTCTTTCACAGCAGATTTAAACTGTAGCCTATCCAGTGTGGGTATGATTTGAATTTTGCTAAGATTTGACTTAGACTGTGCTTGTGCTAAATCTTTATCAGATGAAGTTGTTTGCTGTTTAATTTTTGTTTATAATAAACACAACTTAAGTAAATAATCCTAATTGTGTCTCCAAGTTCTAAACTGTGAATTTAACCAAAGGCTGAAAGGAAATTTCTCAAAGTGTATGAATTCTTGGCCACCGGCTGCTCAGTGGGAAAAGTGTAGATATGTTGAACCCCCATGGGCTACTCTCAGTTAAATTCCTGTAGTAACTTTGTAGATCAAGGTTAAATCCCCTCCACGCTCTTTTCTTCCTTCACAGAGTGCTACTCCTCCCAGATTCAATGGCCGATTTTTCATTTTTAGATAATCTATCATCTCTTTTACATCTCTTTTATTATCTTTCTTCCACAGAACTGAAGGATAGGCCACATTATAACGCTACTCACTGGGAATGTGCATGCGATCAATGCAGTCTCTACAGTCATGGAATTTACATTCCAGTGAGAAAATTATTAAATAAATATGCGATACAATGTCAGAGGGTGACAAAACTGGGGAAATAAAGCAGGATTAGGGGAAGTAGGAGTAAAGCTCTATTAAGTTGGAGTGATAAGAAAATAACCAAATTGAAGTAATTGAACATGCCACAAATATAAGTGGGGGTATAGCTTTCCAGGCAGAAGAAATCACAAGTGCAAAAACCAAGATGGATCTTAGTACAAGGAAGGAATATCCCAAAAGCAAGAATGTCTGCAGTGAAGTAAAGCAAGGTAGACTTCCCAGAGGCAGCCAGAGAGCAGATCACGTAAGGCCTTACGTGCCATGGTTGGGACATTGGATTTCATTCTAAGCATGGGAGAAAGCCGTTGGAGAGTTTTGCCCTGACCTGATTAGATTTTTAGAAGGTCCTTCAGACTGCTATGAGAATACAAGTGTATGGGCAAAAGAAGAAATAAGAGAGTTCATTAAAAAAAGTAATGAGCAGGTCAAGAGAGAGACTTGCTGGTGGCAGCTTGCATGATAACAGTTTAAGTTGTGAGAAGTCGTCAGGTTCAGTGTGTGTATTTGAGAGTCAAGTAAACAGTCAAGTAAACAGGAATTGTTGATGCGTTGGATACATGGATGAGAGAGACAACTGAATCGCCTTTTAGGTTTTGGCTTGAACAACTGGATGAATGGTCTTATAATGAGATAGGAATCTTTGCAGTTGGACCAAATTTAGACTGTCCAAGAGCTCTGTTGTACACAGGAGTAAGTTGATGGTGCTTTTCAGACATCCAGGGAGAGAGTCTAGCAGGTCCCTGAGTCTAGATTTTGGTGGAGAGATTGGGTTTGGAGATGTAAATGTGGTATAGATATCAGTTCAAATAAATGCACAGACCTTTTTCTTTAAGCAGTTGGCTAAGCAAAAAGAGAATAAAAGTAAAAAAAGAAAATAAATATGAAGACATTGTGTTGGCATTATAAATATATTTTCCAAACCCTGTCTGTGGTAAAGTATACTGTGTGTATCATTCTTGATCCATGGAAATCTATAACTGAACTATAGGCAGTCCAACAATTTCAGAGGGAAAAACATGATATAATTTATCCACCTTACATATTTTATAAACTTTTAATAAAGTTTAGGTTCATAGTAACATCCTTATAATAATTTTGTCCTTAAGGACAATGCATGTTATATAGAGATTGTTTTCACCACTTCATCTTGACTCCTATTTCACACTAGTTTTATGGTAGTGTTCATATTTACATGTGGAATGTTCCTCATTATTCTCATTATGTCACTTTACATTAACTGGGAAGTAATGGTAAAAATAGCAGTATGTATTCAGTTCTGAATCAGAGTAGTATTAGTATGTATCTCCATCTAGTGAAAAGTTCTTCAATAAAATATGAATCCATGTTGCCAGACAGGTGAATTCACAAGCCAGTAAAGAAAGGAGCAGCTAGAAGTGTGACGATGTACAACAACAAATACCTGAAAATTAAAGTTTTTTTGAGTTAAATATCCTTTCCCTCCTGGTCTCTTGGGTTCTGGCTATTATGCTGGCATAAAACTTTGAACTTGTGGTTTCTTATTCAAATTATGCTCAGAATCTCTGGTTAAATTGTTTGTGTTTTCAGGAATGTTTGCGAGTTAATACTTTCCAGTGTGAAAGCTATGAATTTGTCATGACAGGTAGAGAAAAGACGAAGGACTACAGGGGTGTCATTCTTAGTTGCATTTTACCAGAGCAGAAGCAGGTAAAGGTCATTGTCAGCAAGACTGCAAAACCCAAGTTACGTTCAAAAAAAAAGAAAAGAAAAGAAAAAGAAAAAAAAGCAGGACAGTTACCAAATTGCCTTACACAAGCGTAATGGTACTTATTGGGTAGTTATTGTTACAATCCCATGTTTTGCCTTACATTTGGATGCAACTACTGACTCAGCTCCTGGCCTATGGGCTGCACTAAGATGGGAAGAATGGTCTATGAAATTTTATTTTGTTTTTTATTGAAAATGAATGACTGAAAGAGATTAGATGTTTCCCCTTCTTAATTATTCTTCCGTAACCTGTAATAAAGATAGACAAAAAATTATGTTGAGCTCAGTACTGAAGCAAGACCACTTATGTATACAATGAAAAAAGGCATTGATTTATTCATAAATGAGTTTCACTTGAATGCCAATGCACACACAGCTTTAGCCACAGAATACAGATAGTACTTGGCAACCCTTACCTTGATATTGTGTTGTCTTGCTGAAGAATCTCAAAAGGACCTGATCCATAATTAAATTGCACATATTCTGTGCAAGTAAGTTTGAAGTACATGGCAGATAAATGGACTGACATGAGTCTGCTTTCCCATACGGAGAGGTACCAGCTGACAGGAGAAAGTTCACAGAAGTTTTTGGATGAGAGATGAAATAAAAAAATACTATGATCCCAGTATTCACAGTAAGGACCATTTCTGGGATTTTAAGTGACATCTTCAAGTTTTAGTTCCTCAGTCTATTATTTGGGTTGAATAACCAATGTTTATAAATGGAAATATAAGGAAATCTATAGGTTGAAATGGAGAGGATACGACATTGACTTTGGAAAAGAGAATTTCCTATGAGAAGTGACTGGTGAACTTCAGTTGAATTCAAATAGCTCGGTTGCCAAGAGATGGACTTTTCCTGACACTTCATATCCTTTGTGCCTCGGAAAAAGAAATCAATAGTGTATGAGTGGTCATATTTTAAGAGGACATCCAATTTTTGCAACAAAATTCAAAGAACTTCTTTCTGAAACTAAAGTAATGAAAAACAGTTTATTTATTTACCGCCATCATCTTCTAAGTTTTACAACGTTCAGGCTTCCTGCTTTCCAGGGTGGATATGCTCATTGATCTGGTGTTTGATGTGCTGCTGAGAGTGGTCTGTGGTGAGGACTTGCTCCCATGTTAGAACCAAAAATGCAGAACTGAGTGACATAGTCACCAAAAACTGCCTTCCTTGGCCAATCACCAGATGCGTGTGTTAGTATGCCCTAACGTAGTAGAACTGTAGATTAAGAAAAGAACCCAACTCCATATGGAATCATTCTGTGATAGCCAGTAGGATTGTTGGAAAACGTTCCAGTTCTGCTCTCCTCCTTAGCACATGTTACAGTTGGATTTCCCCATCCTCCTTCAAGCGTGATGTGGTTATGACAACTGCTTTGGCTAAGAAAATGTGAGTGGAAGTGATGTGTGCCATTGCCTTGGTGAAGCTTTTGAATCAGTGCACGATACGTTGTGTTCCTTCCCCTTTGCCATGTGACTGCTGATGTTTTATCTAATAAAGGCTCAATCAGCCTGGGCTGCAGAGTGAGAAAATGAGAAATACAGGCTTTAGCCAACCTTTTAGGAACGTGTAGCCTGAGCAAGAAATACACCTTTGTGACTCTAAGCCTCTAGGATATTGGGGTTATAGTGCCAAAACATA